GGTCCTCCTGGACCTCTCAGTGGCTTTCGATACCATCGACCATGGTATCCTTCTGGATAGGCTAGCAGGACTGGGAGTAGGAGGCACTGCTTTGCAGTGGTTCCGCTCCTATCTCAATGGCTGATTTCAGAAGGTGGTGCTGGGGAACTTTGACTCTGTGCCATGACAGCTATGCCATGGAGTACTGCAGGGGTCCATTTTGTCCCCCTTGCTATTCAACATCTACATGAAACTGCTGGGAGAGGTCATCCGGAGGTGTGGGCTGTGGAATCATCAGTATGCTGATGACACCCAGCTCTACCTCTCTTTTTCAACCGATCCAGGTGAGGCAGTGGCTGTATTGAACCAGTGTCTGGCTGAGGTAATGGGCTAAATGAAGGCCTATAAACTGAAACTCAATCCAGACAAGATGGATGTCCTGTTGGTGTGTGGTTCAAGCTCCTGGGTAGGTGACTTGGACCTTGCCCTGAATGGGGTTGCACTCCCTCTAAAGTACAGGGTCCACAGCTTGGGAGTGCTCCTCGACCCAGAGCTGCCCCTGGAAGCTCAGGTGACTGTGGTAGCGAGGAGCGCTTTCCTTCAGCTTTGGTTAATCCATCAGCTGCGTCCCTACCTGGAGGATGATTACCTAGCGACAGTGACACATGCTTTGGTTACTTCCCGGTTGGATTTCTGTAACGTGCTCTATGTGGGGCTGCCCTTGAAGACAGTCCCGATACTTCAGATGGTGCAAAATAGAGCAGCATACTCTAAATAAATAAATAAATAAATAAATTCCTCACTGCCTTCACCACCATGGAGTAGGCTTGATAATGAGTGCTAAGCCATGTTTGGTTGGATTTGTTTCGAGTTCTCCATCTGAGCTGTAGACATCTTCCCTCTTGCTTCATCACCCTCAGCTCTGGCATATACCAAGGAGCCAGATGGGCTCTGTGGTGGGAAAGAGGGTACTTGGGAGCAAGTATGTCAACCACCTGGGCCATCTCCATGTTCCACAGAGTGATCTGAACTTCAACAGGAGTGCCTGCCTTGCCAGTTGGAAAGTCTCCCAGAGCCATTCGGAATCCATTTAGATCTATTAACCTCTGAGGGCAGACCAACTTAAAGTGTCCCCCACCCTTGCAGAGGGGAAGAGGAACCAGTGGTTCAAACCTCAACAGGAAGTGATCTGACCATGACAAAGGAGTAGTTAGCCCCCAAATTTTCAGATCATCATCTTCCTGTCCAGCAAATAGTTGTAAAGCATTCGATCACTTGGAATGGCCCTTCTTAATAAAATCATTGATGAAAATGGGAAGAGATTCATTAATACTATATATGAACTTAATCAAACATAAAGTACCATAATTAGACCAAACTCCCCATATTCATCAGGTTAGATCATATAAATATACTGAACAGGGTTGTCCCTCCCTCAACTCTTATTCACCGTCTTTTTAGGGCCATTTGCAACTGCATTATGGGCATTTGTTTGCTTTCTGTATTGCCCAATAGCTGAAGCTCTTTACTGAAATGTAGAAGAGCTGTGCACTGCAGGTTCATAAATCCTTACCAGCTTATTTGCAGATGACATAGTATTTATCTCTGAATGTCAATAGAAATGGAACAGTGCCAAAATTCAAAATCAATTACTTAGTCTGAATCTTCTATCCAAATCTTCTGTCCAGAGAAAATTTTAGACATCTTATTGTAGGCCTTGAATTATAAATCAACAACATATCTAAATGTAAAAACTGAATTTCCACTTGATTATATAACAAACATGAAGCAAAAATCAGAATTGGAGTAGAATCCATTTGTCCTGGCTTGGAAGGATGGCAGTGACAAAAATATCCCCACTTCCTAAGTTGCATAAATAACTAACCCCTTTCTAAATTGCACCATGATTATGTAGACAAAAAGGCAAAATAGTCTATAACTTATGTCTCCATTAATAGACCATTATTACACCTCTTTTTATAGCACAAACAGCACAGACATTTTATAGCACAGATATTTGCTAAGCATAGCAAAAGTTTGGAGAAAATGAAGGTATGACATGTCTGGGGAGTCTTCTGATTTCTGGTTCTGAAGTTGGAGATGGAGGTGTAGCCTTAATGTTGGAGATCCACACTTGTATTCTACTCCCCCCACCCCACCCCACCCCACCCGACACTCGCACAGCTGGGGCAGAAAGAACTGCACTGACCTTGGGGAAGGGACGAAGAGGGTGGGGCAGCACCCCAGCCTTCTTCCCTTCCTATCTGAAGCATCCCAGCTGCACAGCCAAAACCAGCTGTCCAGCTGTCTAGTCAAATGGGATGAGCCCCGGGGTGAAGTGTCCATGCTCCTCCTACTCTGTGTAGAGATCTTCCAAATTTGGAGGCTTACAGGCATCCCATGGAATGGTATCATGTGTACAAGAATCATAAGCCCATTAGCTGAAGCTTAGCTGCAAGCAAAGTTGCAGGGGACATCAGCAGATGGATGCAGATGCATCAAATAATATACTATTCAAGCATGTTTCCCACGGGGAATTCAGAGCTTTTGAAAAGTTATTCCAGGGTGTTCCATCCAATCACATTGAGCTACTCTGAGGAATAACACTTTATTTTTTTACATCCTAGAACTTTCTCTCTCCAGTTCACCTTGTGATTTCAGATGTGTTCCAGCTTTGTCTGTTTTTTTTTTTTAATTTAAATGGGCTGAGTAGTATAATGAAGCCACAAGGCATTATGTGTGTTGTCTAAGAGCAAAACCTAGATATTCTTTTATTCAGGAGTGCACCAGCAAAATGGCAGATGTACAAAAAATTCTGTACATCCAGTATTGTTCTCCTAGTTGGGGTAGGATTTTCTTACTGCCCTTTCTGAGTGAAGAGACTATCTAGGTTTTGCTCTTGGACAAGCCACCTGATACTGAAAGGTTTCACTCAGTGTAGACAGGAGCTCTGAGGCATGAGGGTTGCTGCGACTGTTGTCAAGAAATTCCTTTTTACAACAGAGCACTCACTTAGGGATCCTGCTGGATGTTTTGTCTTTGCTAAAGGCAGTCTGGGAGGCCAGCAGCTCATGTTAGGCTCAAGTTAGGGGGCAGCAAAAGCCTGTGCTTATTACAGCCAGTTCAGAATCCAAAAGGCAGTGATCACTGGTGGGGGTCTGAGTGCTGTAATTGATAGAAAACTTGATAAGAGTCTCTCATGTCTCCCAAGCACCCAGCACATTAACAACTTGCTAGATAAATGTGAACCATGATGTGGGATGTGAGCCCTGGGATCTCGTGACTACATCTTCCATTATCCTCACCCCAATTCCTACTCAAGGACGGGAGACATTCTTGAGTTATGCACATTTACTTCAAGAGCACTCAGTTATGACTTCTTATTATTATTGCCACCTAATAGATGTGTATACTGCTGACCATATTTAAGAACACCTCTAAGTGGTTAGACTAACCTAGACTCAGTTAGGATTTCTGATTATTTATTTCATTTTTATACCACCCAATATCCACATGACTCTCTGGACAGTCTCCAAAATTAAAAGGACATAAAAACAAAGAAATGGGGAGTGGGAGAAACCCTATCACAATAAAACAATAAACCAGTAGGCCAATGTAAAGATGACAATGGCAACATACCCAACCGATTAATCAAGTTGGCCCACAGGCATAGCAGTGGTATCTAATAAAACCAATGTTAAAACTAAAAGTTAACTATTAAAAGATCTGGTGAATAAAAAGGTTATCACTTGGCACTGGAAAGAAAAATAGTAGGTGCCAGGCATACCTCTCATCCAGTCCATTATTCACATCAGACACCAGTTTAGACACCAGTACCTTGAATTTAGATGGAAAACAGATGTATAGTTGAGTATCATCAGCATGGTAGTGGCGCTGAACACTAAAACTCTAGACAATCTTCCCCAGAGGTTTCTCATGCACACAGAGACTTATTTAATAATAGCACTGGGGAAAAGTATGGATAGATATCCCCCAGTTACTAGAGGGAGTGCAGGAAAGGAGGCTCATTCATTCAGATGAGAGAGCGCCTTTGGGCTACTGGATAGTTTAAAAAAGTAATAAATAAATAAATGGCTGCATTGCCTACTGGTGGCTAAGTGCTGGAAATGCAGATACAACAAGATCAACTATTAAACTAGTTAATAGTTTAAGTTATTGGCATTTATGGAGTGCCAGGGTCATGTGAAAATAAAGCCCTATTTCATAATGATCTGGTGGCAGAAATTGGAGGTGGCCAAACAATGGAAAACTTCAGTGGATCCATTGACAGACATTTGGATAGAGAGGGTGTACGAGGCCACACATTCTGAAAACTAACACAAAAGTTGAGAGTGTGCAGAGCAGAAACACACGTTTGTGAGTGTATGCTTCTTCTGTATGCCAACAAGAGATCCTCACCATACAGGCTGCCAAATGCCCAGACCAAGTTCTGGAAGAATGCTTTTTGACACTTCTGGGACAGCCTGATTCTTCACAGAAGTTGAATATACGTGCATTGAATTGATGATTTCAGTATATTCTACCTTACCTGTTTGAAAATAAACACTTAAAAATCACTTCACAAACCATGCCTCTAAACAAAGTAAGGCAACGGGGCTATGATGGTTTACAACTAAAAGAACAGCACTGCAAATGCAAAGGAAGCTTCAGAATCACTGCAAAGGAGCTTAAAGGAAATAGGATGATTCCTGAACAAAAAAACCCACCTGGACCAGGAGTGTTTTAGAAGACCTGTTTCCATTCCCAGCAATAAGCATGTAAGCAACTCTTGTCAATATTGGAGAAAAAGACTAATGTGGAACTCTTTTATACTGTAAACACAAGTCAGATCAGTACTTCGTCATTCCCAGTGTCAGCTCTGTTCTGAATTGGTCTTTCCTCTTTCTCTTCTATTGGTTAACACCTTTAATCCAGTGTTCAAAATGCAATGTTTATAAAGGTGCATGTTATATTCTGATTGCATATATGTAATACTTTTCTCTCTCCTCCTCCTCCTCCAGAATTCTATGAACTTGCCACCAGACAAAATGAAGTTACTGAGCCAGTATGACAATGAAAAGAAATGGGAGTTGATCTGCGACCAGGTAAGGGACCGGGGGGGCCCTTTTTCAGTAATTATCTAAGATTCAGCCCCATCAGGTGGTCTAGAAGGATACCATGTTCCATGTGATCAAAAGCTGGTCTGGCAAAACTAGTAGGGCTGCGCTCCCCTGTCTAGTTCCCACTTTAGGTCATCCACCAAAAATCCAATTGAAGTGGGTCCAGATAATTGGCATCATCCAAATGTGTCTGGAGTTGCAAGATCACAAGAAAGGAATAGCTAAGACTGGTTTATAGCTTGATGGCCTGATTTACCTTTTCTAACTCTACTGTTCAATGATTCCATGATTTCCAGATCTTCTGAGTTCTTAATATAGGACTTATTATTGTCTCTTTCATGTGAAAGGGAAGATGTCCCATAAGAAGGCACTAATCACGTTCCTTTGTCATATGGTCAGTCATATCCTGGCTCACTGAATTAGCCAAGATGGGCAAAGGTTAATTGACAAATGGTAGTCCTCACCTCTCCAGAAAAGAATACTCCAAAACCTCCACCTTGTCTGGGTTGAGTCCCAGGATGTTCTCATGCTGTCCGTTATTGTGCCTAGGCAGAGCCTCACCTGGATTTGATGAAAAGTGGATCTGGATGTCATCTGTATGTCACCTCAGGATAACCTCCACCAGCAGTTTCATGTAGATATTGAGCAGCATAGGGGATAGAATACAGCCCTGTGGAACCCCATAGTATAATTGCCTAGTCACTGAGCAATAATTCCTCAGCACTACCTTTTGAAATCAAGAAGAAACAGAGCCACTGCAATCCAGTGTCTCAACTCCCAACCCAGACATCCTACCCAAAAGGATACCATAACTGATGGTCACAAGAGCCATTGGGAAGCCAAAAGAATCAACAGGGTCATATCTCCCTTAGCTCTCTTTCAGCAAAGATCATTCCACAGGGTGACTAAGGCAGTTTCTATTCCAAAATTAGGCCTGAAGCCTGACTGAAATGGACCTAGATTGTGAGATTCATCCAAGAGTATTGAAATTGACTGGCAACCACCAACTCAACCATTTTGCCCAGCAAGAGGATATTGGCTACTGGCATATAGTTGCTCAAATCATCTGAGTCCAGGTTAGGATCTTTCAGGAGTGACCTAATTACTGCCTCCTTTAAAGAGGCCAGTACCACTGCCCCAGTATTGGATGTAGTAAGCCATGAAGAGCAAGAGTCAATCACACATTCGGCTGACTGGCCTTGACCAAGCACCTTGCCTCCACCCTCAGGCCTTATCAACTGAAACTCATCCAATAAAACTGAATCAGACAGTGCTCTGCTAATGAAATTGCATTAATTTTGGTGTTCAGTTTGCAACAGATGTGAGCAAATTTATCTTCAAACTGTCATGCAAACTTGTCAAGGTATGCTACTCAGGATTCCACCACCTCTTTCCTGGTCCAGATTGCAACAAGCCATGAACCACTCAGAAAGGACTTTGAGAAGCTGCAGTAGGTACCCAACTCAAAGTACAAACCCTTCAGACAGGCACTTTAACAGGCAGAAGTCTATAGAAGGAGAAGGAATTCCTATAGATCACAACAACCCTGCTTCCCAGCACTCAAGTCAATGTTGGTGCTTTATCCAGTAGCCAGGAGAACACTGCTGAGAGATTAACCCTTCCCAGTTTCCATACCCAGGTCTCAGTAATTCACCTCAGGTTGTCCTTCTCACTCACAGTTAAATCAGATAAGGGAGATTTTATTTTGCTTTCAGCAGAAGCAGCACATCTGAAAGTGAGCTGGTAAGGCAACCAGGAACCATCTGGCTGCAGGAAGAACCAGGCATGAGGTATCTAGTTCCTCTTTTCCTCAACTGGCCTGTGACTCCCAAATATCATACCTTCCCCTACTCACGACCTGATCCATGGGGTACCCTTGCTTTCCCCAGATTATCCAATGAATTTTCCAGGCACATTTTTAAATGAATGTGTAAAATAGAGGCCCTCTCTGTGACAGTTAACAAGGAGAAGCTGCACGTCTATAATTATTCCTCGACTCTCCAAGCTCTAGCCCTCTGCTGCTGGTGGTTGCTGGGATGTACTGGGCTAAACAGCTGTGAAGTGCCCACCTCTGCTGGCACCTGTGTCTTTCCAAAAGCAGGCAGAAAAGACTCCAGAGGGAAATGTTCTCCACTGGCTCCACCCTCTTCCAGTTACCCAGCCTGCTGTCTGCAGTGATGGAACAGGCTTAGAGCCAAAAGCCCGCAGCCCTTTAGCTAGTGCTTCTGCCCAAAGCACCTGTAAGGGGAGGAGAGATGGTGATAGGCATCCTCAGCTGGGTGTCTCACCTGGTGAAACTGGCCCTCCCTCCAGCAGGCTCCAGCCAAAACACGGCATCTGCCAGGAGCAGCCTTTAAATCGCTGCAAGGGAGTGGAGGAGGACAAAATCTCATCCCGGCATCTCAGCTGGAAAAATAGACCCTCCCTCCAGCAGGCTGCACTGCAAACACATTCTGTCTCTTCACAAGCTGCTCCGCTTTTGCTTCTTAACTGTCCTCTGATTGGCCCCTTCACAGCACCCCTTGTGACCCCGGGCTTTGCCGCTTGGGTCCTGCCCTAAGCCCCACTAGTACTAGGACCCAGGAGGGAGCTGTCTGAAGACAGGGTCACCTTTCAGCACACACTGCTGCCAGGGAGAGAAATAGGGCACCCGCTTGTTTCTCAGTTAATGAAGGAACAGTTTTGTGAATAGTGCTGAGAAGACAGAAAAAGAGATGAGGGGGGCTCACTGTGGGCTGCGCAGATGTCTGTGTGGGAGTCGGCCCTTTGCAGAACCGCTGAGGCAGTTCTGTCACGGGGAATGTGGTATCTGAAATGGAAGCATTTGATGATCTTACGGTGCCTGCTGAACCAGTGGGCAGTGGGGAAAGGGGGCGGCATCACTCACTGCCTGCTCGACACTAGAGTGAAAGCAGGTCAGAAGGCCCTTGAGAATGAGGGCCTGCCAGTGTCTGTTGTGATTCACAACCAATGCAATCAAGCGGCAGGTGAAGAAAAAAGTGGGTCTCCACTCAGTTGGCGTGAATCGTGTAGGAAGAGGCTGGGGATGTGTGGGAAATACAAATGTCCTTTCTGACAATTTTTAGTCTGTGAAGCTATAAATGCCTCACTGAATCTGTGAATTTGCCTGTGGAGAAAGAGGGACAGAAGGGTGTGTGACTGTGAGTGGAAATTCTGGAGTACCTGCAAAAGGGTGGGAGTGGAGAGTGTGGCTCACAGAAAACAGGAGCGATATAGAGAGGCAGCCCAAATAGCCACCTTGGGTGATGGATTCTGAAGTTATCAAGGTCAGCAAAGAGGCAGAAATACAGATGTTATCTAGAGGTGCAATCCACTGGGAGGTTCTGAACTGTGCAGGGTTGCACTATGTAAGCCAACCCCTTCCCGACCTCAGAAAGTCAAAACTGCAGGGTCGGGAAAGGAGGTGGCTGGTGCCTGTAATCAGTGTATTTAAATATCATCCGTGGTTATGCTGAGGTACCCTAATGCCAGATCTCTACCAACTTGTGCCAACTCAGTTTCATATGGGGAGCAGAATTACCTATTCCGGAGAGAGAGGGGGTGAGGAGCCCTGCATATGGAAGAGCCATGCAAGGCCCAGCTAGCTCAGGATTGTGCTTCTCACAGTGATCAACCAGATGCCTGGGAGGCGCTCACAAGCAGGGCATGAGCACCTTCTTGCCTGCATTTCCCAGTGGCTCATGTATCCTGGCTATGGTCATCCTACCTAATAGTTCTCGGTAGCCTGATTCCACAGTTTTACTATGTGCTGTATAAAGTATATCCTTTTATCAGTTCTGAATCTGCTATCACTCAGCTTCATTGAAACTGCCTTGAACATGGGCTCTAATATCATGCATTCTCCACACCATGCATAATGTTATATACCGCTTATGTTTCCCCTTAGTCATCTTTTTTAACTCACAGAGCCCGATCATTCTTACCCCTCTTTATTGGAGCCTTCTCCAGCTCTTTGTTCATTTTGGTTGCCCCTTCCTGACCCTTGCTAGCTTTACACTCTCCTTTGGGGATGTAGAGATCAGAACTGTGCGCTGTACTGCGGTCACACCATACCATGCATTATGATATTGGTAGTTTTATTGTTTATTGCTTTTCTAATGATCTATTGTTTTCTGATTTATATTTCTATAATGCCTAATAGCCAAAGCTATAGGTAAATCCCAAACTGAATTGGATTTGTAAATGTACAAGCAGCCAGTGCACATGCATGAGGCACTGGTGCTATATGTTCAGACCTTCTGGTCTTTGCTATGCAATTGCCCCTGCATTTGCACAAGGAGCAGATTTGGAACCATCCTTGAAGACACATACTGCACATTGCAGTATTCAACCTTGAGGTTACCAGTGCATATTGAGGCCAGATTATCTCTGTCCAGATGGGGGGCACAGCTGGGCAACCAAACAATGCTGTAGAAGATTCTCCATTCCACTGAGGCCACCTGAGCCTACAGGGACAAAGACAACTTCTGGAAAACTTCCAAGCTATGAACTAGGTCCTCCAGGCAGCCTGTAGATCCACCCTGAACAGGTAGAAAACTCTTCAATTTGGCCAGAAGAACCACTAACAAACGACATTTTGGTTTTGTTTGATTTGATCTTCACTTAGTCTCTCATTGCATCATGGATATCGGCAGCCTCACTTGATAAGGATGCAAAGGGGAAACACAGCTAGATGTCATCAGCATAATGACGACAGTGCACTCCAACACTCCTGGTGACCCACTTCATAGTTTCACATAGATTTAAACAGCATGAGACAGTCACCATACCAATTCCTGCAGAAACCCTACTGAAGAATCCATGGAACCAAGTAATACCCCCAGACATCACCTTCTGGAGTCTGCCATCCAAGTATTTCCAATTCCCAACTCAGTCAATCACCCAGTATCAACGGAATCATACTACTGCTGTTTCTCTGCCAACATAGGTCATCACACAAAGGCACTAACACTGTTTCTGTGCTAAAAACCCCACCAAAAGCCCAAGTGAAATGGACTCAGATAACTAATCTCATCCAAAAGTGTCTGGACCTGGTTGGCAATCACTTGTTCAAGGAGCTTGCCAAGGAAAGAAATAATTACTATCACCCTCAAGTCTTCTCTGTCCAAGAAGGATTTTTCATGAGTAGCCTCTTCACTGCCTCTGCCAGGTGGCCCAGGGCAACCCTTTTTCAAAAAGAAGCATTACTCACCTCCCTGGCATAGTTGGTTATAAGCTGAATTTTGTCCTTTTCCCAGCTATCACATACTGTTTTTTCCAGGCTTTCATCAAGCTGTCCACCACAACCACAAGTTCCCTTTCTTGCTCATTCATCACCAGCTCAGACCAGCATTAAAATAGTTTGCTCAATGTTTACATGTTATAGTAAAGAGGAAGAACCCACAGAAAACACTCTCTTGCTTAAAGAGGTACAAGTCCAAGGCAGCTACTAAGTAATGCATCTCTACATGGTACCTACTAGGCCACTATACAGCTTCTTTACAAAATCCAGATTTTTATTTATGTCACAATCACAAACAAAGAACAGTGTGCAACACCACAGGCTGAGCTTAGCAGTAATCTACACATTTTACATGCATATTATACATATGCAGCATGTTATTAATGAGTAAGGCATTTAGAATATATTCTGGGAAATATTTACCCTTTTTACAGAAGGGAACCACTGTCAGTTAAATTAGTGCAGATAACTCAATGTTAAAGCACGTATCTCTCAAGAAACTAAATAAGCTCTCTCATGCACTAATTTAACTGACAGTGGTTCCAGGGCGACTTCTGGCCAGGGCGACTTCTTTTATATTTTTTATTTATTTTATATTGTTAATTTTAATTTTATATTGTTATTTTTGTATATTATTGTGTTGTAAGCTTTGGCAAGGGGCGGCATAGAAATGTTTTAATAAATAAATAATAAATAAATGCATATACCTGGTTTAACTCTGCAACCTCACAGAACTTCTTCAAACATACACTAAGGTAGTGCACCAGTTTTGTATAATAGCTGCTGAGTTTTGTGTGATAGCTTTGACTATCATCAACTGAGCTATAGGTTGAAAAAATGAATATAATAAATTATGCAACCTCTTCTAATTTTAGAGGGTCTTTCCAGCTGCTTTCTCTTCTGACACTGTTCTTCATTGACTTCAGTGAAAAAACCTTGTTTTTAAACGTTTCACTTCTTTCTTTCAGTGGAAAGGTCTGTTTTTCCCTTTTAAATATATATATATAGTACTTTATTTCTTCAAGTTCCCTGAAGCAGGCCTGCTCCAAGTCATTTTGCTTCATAAGGCAGAGTAGCAACTGCCATGGATAGCAACCAGTTATTCTGGTATTTAAGGCAGAAAACCCCAGTGGTAGCTCTCCCTTCCCTGACAGTAAAAATGCAATAACATACTAAAATGCAGTGCTGTGGGAGTGTGCACAGAAAAAAGGCCTACCAAGTCCTGGCATGCCCCAGCCAGCGTAACTGATTTGAAGTGTCCCTTTGGCTCCTGCTTTAAGTTGCCATTAAGAAGCCTGGACCTGCTTGTAGCAGAAGCCTTCTGAACAAGAACACAAGTTGCTTACTTCATGCAAATAAACATGGTTCAAGGAATAGAACAAGGTTGGGAAGTGAACAGAGCAGGCACTGTTGCTCTTGTGCAACATTATGTCACATTCCGGGACAAGGGTGGTGCAACATAGTTGTCATAAGAAAAAAACCACAAATGTCTTTCCTCACAAGGCTGGAAGCATTCAGCTGCACATTTTAAGCATTAGAGTACATGAGGAGGGGATAAGATGACATTACTTTACACAGCTTCACCTGTTTCCTAAATTTTGCAGTTCCAATAAAAATGCATGGGTGGGTAAATGCTAATTCCCTGGCTTAATTTGTAGGACATATTTAACATTGTTTGGGTCTTGAGAAATGTGTTTGGAGGGAAGGCTGTTGAGTGTATTTCATCAGTGACCGAGGAACTACTGCTGGAATTCATGACAGATAATGAGCTGAGGAAATCTGGGTGTCATGAGAGTCAGGGTATCCCTTTCTCTTTGCATTCCTTTTCATCCTTCCCAGTTCAACATAGTTAGCAAGTGCAATATGCTAATGCATGGATGGACAAACTCCTGCTAATCCAGCCCATGGAGGTTCCCATGGGCCCCACTTGCTCCCCTTTCCAAGCCCCATTTCCTGGCCTGAAGGTTTCCAGGGACTTTGGGAGGAGGCAGGGGGAATCCTGTTAATTCCAATTCTAGATTAGAGATGCAGAGAGATGTTCCTTCCGGACTCCAGTGGAAGTAGGTGTGGCTGGGGTCATCTATTTGTCATGCAAATTCAGGACCAAATATCATATGAGGTTGTGGCCTCAGCCTGGGGTGTCACTTGGCGGAAGGGTGGCTGGGTCAGTGCGCATCCCCATTTGATTTGTGCCTCCTAGTTTCTGGATCCAGAAACAGCTGTAGTGTTTGTATGGGGGACATCTACTATTGGGGACTGCCTGCTCAGTTCTTCTGCATTGTCAGACCTTTTACATGTGAGCCAGCCCTGCATGTGTAATTCTTAGAGTCATCTTGCTCCTTCAGAGCTCACTCTTATTAAATATTTTCCTTAATCTGATAAACTCTATCGCTTTTGTGTCTGCACAGGAAAGATTCCAGGTCAAAAATCCACCTTCTGCCTACATCCAGAAACTGAAGAGCTATTTGGACACAGGCGCATTCAGTGGAAAGGTGATTTCTAACTGGCTAATATAACTGTGATAATACTTAATCCCTGCCTGCCATTTTCTCACTGACCCCATATGAAAGTGGAAATGTTTTGCAGGGTTATGCACCTTTATGTGTATAACCTACATGAGTTTCCCACCTTCTTTCTATCACACCTCACTTTCCTAATGTTTGGTTTCACTGTAGCTACCAGAATACTGTTTTTAAATATGCTATTGGATCCAATTCACATGACTCCTCTGCAGGGCCTTTCATTTCTACCATGAATCGTCTGACTTACCTTATGAGCAGAAATGCATGCTTTCCTGAATTCACATTTTTTGGAAGATTTCCAATGGAATATAACATTTACAGTGAGCCAGACAAGCTGTAATTTTATTTATCCCTCCAAAATGTAGACTGAGCAATGGCAAGCAACATTTTATTTGTGGTCATGGTCAGGAAATTAGGTGTACCACATCGCATATCTGCGCAAAATGCAAAGCGCCTGGCCATGCATGGGTTGGTGCTCATATTCCTTAGGACTTGTGCAAGGGTACCTGGTTTGCCTCACTTAGTTAACTGGTGTTAGAAGTCTGCACTTTGTATCTAAAGGGGCTAAGCATGCAATCCTATGCAAGTTCGGGCAGAAAAAAAGGCTGACGACTCCCAGAAAAGGGCTTATAACAAGGAGCTGTAGACTTGTTTTCTGCCTCAACATGCATAGAATTGCACTTGCGGTGTTGCACTTGGATCCTTCAAAATGTGCATGCAAACAAGCAGCTGCAAATGGCACAAACACCCTGAAATGGCTGGGGAGCATTGCAAAAAATTCCCATAGCCCAAACTGAATTTTTAAAATGTGAACCATGGCATGTATTTGAATGATGGCATCACTTCTGAGCATTTGTCCCATTTGTTTTAGTGCTAATGGTTTTGACCCTTGCCAATACAGGTTTCCCAAGATGCTGTTAATTATTTATATGGAGCTCTACCTAAAACATCTTTGTATCTTGGTATGTTTTTAAAATTGTCATTTGATTTTTTTTTTTAGCTGTAGGTTTTGGTGGTTCAAAGTATTTTTTTCACATTTTATGTAAACAAACTTGCTGTCTATTTTCTCTAGACAGCCCCAGAAGAATGCCTTTTTGGCAGAAACCCATTGGGCTCCAGATATATAATTATCAGCATCTTGGGCCATGGTGTCCCTTTCGGTAGCTATTTCAGTGGATACTTAGCCTGCGTGTGTCTTTGTAACAACAACCTGTTTGCATCCCTTCTTGTAATAAATAAGGAAGCTGCAGTTGGAAAAGAAGCAGGCCTGAGCATCAGTGTTTATTGCAAAGAAACGTTATAAAATGCGCTATTTAAGTGCATGTGTCAGTCCTGTATATGTTCTCCCACTTAGGGTTCCTCTACATGAGGCATTGAACCTGGCACTTTACTGAGGCTGCTTCTCCCATTTTCTTTAAAAGAGGATTAGAGAGTCAGGTTCACAAGGTTTTCCCCTCTACCTCTTTACATGTTCCATTACTCAACACAAGGTGGCATTGTGGCATGGAGGGAAATTGCAAGGTTACACTAGCCTTCTGTAATCAGTAACAAAAGCAGTCTTCTTAGCTCTAAAAAAAAAAGCTATGAAGCTGTCTTGGGAGAAGCACTGGAAGAGGATGACATGGTGAACAAGCCATGCACACTTCCCTGAGAGAGGGGTATGAGTGCCTTGAGTAGAGAAGTCCTTACATTTGGATATTTCTGGGAACCAAGCTCAAAAAGTAAGATATGAATTTGCCACAATGCAAGTAGGAGGTTTGGTGAGAAATGTCACTTCTATGCCATTCTTTTAATTTGTAGAGGAATTTAGTTTAGTTTTGCTTTCTTCACACAGTTTAAGAGGCGGGTTCAAGAGTCGACCCAGATTCTTCGGGAGCTGGAGATATCTCTGAGAACAAACTATATTGGGTTAGTACAACGGACCAGCAATGCTGCGGTATTGTTCATGCGTTGCTTGCTTCTTGTACTAGTAATGTGCAATTATAACCTTTCTCCTTTTTCCCTAGTTTTGTGGACTCTGAGAGCACCAGTCCACTTTGACTACTGCCTTCTAACATCTCCATTGGTCAACGTGGCTCTCAAAACAAATTTTCTATTCAGCAATAATTACACTGTATGTTTGTTCTCAAGTGAGAATTTCAAAGTGAGCTTTGCCTGTTGGAAGGAGAGAAGAGAGGATCGAAAGCATTGTTGCATGTGTTGCAGTGAGAAGTTTTCTCATTGCTTGTTTTAAATGGCCAACAACTTAGGCTATAGAGTTGCTTGAAATAACTAAACAAATACATTTGTATTTCTGACTTCTAACTCTGTGGTGGCTTGAATGCTGTTCCAGAGATTCCTTTAAGCTACAGGTACAGCCTTGTGGGGAAGTGTGAGCCTGAGAGCCCACACAGATGTATTTGGAACCTGTACTTTCTTTGCATAATTGTCCTCAATATGGATTTATTTCAGCTCCAAACTGCCCTATCCATTGCGCAGCTCAGTGTGAATTGCAGTTCAAAGTTAATGTGCAGCAAATATCTACACGAAAAATGGAACTAAAAACAGCAACATGCCCTAAAGGCACCATCCTATAACCTCCTGCTGTTGGGGGCCATGGGGTTATTTGGCAGCTCCAAAATCCTGCAGTCTTTGCAGCCAATGCAGAAAGAGCCACAGCTGCTTGCCTTCCCCGTGGTCACAAATGCACGTTGGAACAACGGGTGTGTCGGGGTGGGGAGGGAAGGAGACTCTGGCTAAGTCGTTATGCCAGTATCCCAATCTTCTTCCCCAGTGATTTTTCTAAAGGGCTGAAAGGTGTGGGGCATGGAGGTGGTGAAGATCACTGGATTCATGTAAGACTCCAAGTTCAGAGACTTGCATGCACCAAGGGTGGGGTAACAAGATGTAACCTTAAGAGTTCAAAAACTAAAAATTAACTAATTTTAAAAACACGAACTTTACAAGACCTTTTCATACCTTTGGTGACCCAGAAAAGAGTCTTAAAGAGTCCTACACTCCTAAGACAGAAGAGAGTCCTATAGCTGAAGAGCCAGAGTGCTGTAGCAGTGGAGTGTGGGACAGGGACTCAAGAGATCTGGGTTTTAGTCCCTGCTCAGCCATGAAGCTAACTGGGTGATTTTGGGTGAGTGAAGGACTCTCAGCCCAGACTACTTACAGAGTTGTTACTGTGAGGATAAAAGTAGAGGAGGAGGAAGAATATGTAAGCCACTTTGAGTTCCTTGGAAAGAAAAAGGTGGGACTGTTGTTGTTGTTAGTCGCGAAGTCATGTCCCACCCATCGCGACCCCATGGACAACATTCCTCCAGGCCTTCCTGTCCTCCACCATCCCTCGGAGTCCACTCAAGCTCACACCAACTGCTTCAGTGACTCCATCTAGCCACCTCATTCTCTGCCATCCTCTTCTTCTTTTGCCATCTATTGTTCCAAGCATTAGGCTCTTCTCCAGGGAGTCCTTCCTTCTCATTAGGTGGCCAAAGTATTTGAGTTTCATCTTCAGGATCTGGCCTTCTAAAGAGCAGTCAGGGTTGATCTCCTCTAGGACTGATTGGTTTGATCGCCTTGCGGTCCAAGGAACTCGCAGGAGTCTCCGCAAGCACCACAATTCAAAGGCCTCAGTCCTTTGGCGCTCAGCCTTCCTTATGGTCCAGCTTTCACAGCCATATATTGCAACGGGAAAGCCATAGCCTTGACTATATGCACTTTTGTTGGCAGGGTGATGTCTCTGCTTTTTAGTATGCTGTCTAGATTTGCCGTAGCTTTCCTCCCCAGGACCAAGCGTCTTTTAATTTCTTGACTGCAATCCCCATCTGTGGTGAAATTGGAGCCCAGGAAAGTAAAATCTGTCACTACCTCCATTTCTTCCTCATCTATTTGCCAGGAAGTGAGAGGACCGGATGCCATGATCTTAGTTTTCTTGATGTTGAGTTTCAAGCCAACCTTTGCACTCCCCTCCTTCACCCGCATCAAGAGGCTCTTTAGTTCCTCTTCACTTTCTGCCATGAGAGTGGTATCATCTGCATATCTGAGGTTGTTGATATTTCTCCCAGCAATCTTAATTCCAACTGGTGATTCATCCAGCCCCGCCTTTCTCATGATGTGCTCTGCATATAAGTTAAATAGGCAGGGCAATAGTATACAGCCTTGCCAAAATCCTTTCTCAATTTTGAACCAATCAGTGATTCTGTGCCCAGTTCTCACTGTTGCTTCTTGAACTGCATATAGGTTTCTCAAGAGACAAATAAGATGCTCTGGTACTCCTGTCTCTTTAAGAACTTGCCACAGTTTGTTGTGATCCACACAATCAAAGGCTTTAGCATAGTCAATGAAGCAGAAGTAGATGTTTTTCTGGAACTCCCTAACTTTCTCCATGATCCAGCATATGTTGGCAATTTGATCTCTAGTTCCTCTCCCTCTTCGAAATCCTGCCTGTACTTCTGGTAGTTCTCGTTTCACATACTGCTGGAGCCTAGCTTGTAGGATTTTGAGCATAACTTTGCTAGCATGTGAAATGAGTGCAATGGTGTGGTAGTTTGAACATTCTTTGGCATTGCCCTTCTTTGGGATCAGAATGTAAACTGACCTTTTCCAATCCTGTGGCCACTGTTCAGTTTTCCAAATTTGCTGGCATATTGAGTGTAGCAGTTTTACTGCATCGTCTTTTAAGATTTTGAATAGCTCAGCTGGACTACTGTCGCCTTTGCTAGCTTTGTTGTTGCTCAGACTTCCTAAGGCCCATTTGACTTCACATTCCAGGATGTCTGGCTCGAGGTCAGTGACCACCCCATCGTGGTTCTCAGGGACATTAAGCTCTTTCTTGTCTACCTCTTCTGTGTAATCTTGTCACCTCTTCTTAATCTCTTCTGCCTCTGTTAGGTCCCTGCCATTTTGGTCCTTTATCATGCCCATCTTTGCATGAAACGTTCTCTCCAATTTTCTTGAAGAGATCTCTGGTCCTCCCTATTCTATTGTTTTCTTCTATTTCTTTGCACTGTTCATTTAAGAAGGCATTCTTACCTCTTCTAGCTATTCTCTGGAATTCTGCATTCAATTGGGTGTATCTTTCTCTTTCTGCCTTGCCTTTCACTTCCCTTCTTTCAAACAAGGTCCATTCCTGAGAAAGTGGAAATTTGTCTTTAAGCCAAATTTGTATGAAGTTGGATCACGGATAGTCAGCCCTGCACATTTACAGGGGGTTAGGGATGCAGGACCTCCATGAAAGTGGAAAACCTATGAGTATCTCTTCTGGTCCCCCTGACCCCCAAACTTACCAGTGCCTCCTCTTTGCAGTCAGGAAATGCCAGAGAAATTTCCTTGTCTGGATGGGTGAGGTGAGAAGGCATGCTTCAGAGGCCTCCCTCTCTATCCTGTCACTTCCTCTCTCTCTCTCTGTGGTGATGCTTTGGAGGCCTTCCCTCTCTCCCCTTTTGCTTCCTCTCTCTCTCTATGATAATGACAATTTCCTGTAATATTGTTTAAAAATTAATAGGTGTTATGGCAGTTTGTTCATAAGTAGGGGTTGTTCCTAACTTGGATGTTCCTAACTCGCAGAGTGCCTGTATACCAAAGATGAATTAGATTCAGACATATAGAATTAGAAGGGGTCAGTTTAAAGCATCCCTGGCAAGGGGCTGTCCAGTCTATGCTTAAATATCTCCAATGAAGGAGAACCCACTTACCATATCCCCCACTCAGTCTTCTCTTCTGAAGGCTAAACATAGCCTTCCACACAGGACTTTGTTTCTAGTTTCCTGATCTTCTTTGTTGCCCTTCTTTGAACTTGCTCCAGTTAATTTGAATGCTTCCTAATGTTCAGAATTGGACATCTTGATATTCAAGATGAGGTCTGACCAGAGCACAGTTGATGGAACCTGAAATTGCATTTGCTTCTTTTGCAGCCACATCATACTGATGACTCATATGCAGCTTGCAACTGACAGCAACAAGATCATTTTTACCCAGATTTTTTATACCAGTTAAGCCAGGTGTCCTACTATTTATACCTGTGCTTTCAAGTTCTCTTTCATAAAAAAAAAAAGTTTTCCACTCAGTCTTCTAGTCTATTGAGATGATTTTGAATTTTTGTTTGTCTTCTAAAGCATTTGCTACTGTACTCAATTATACATCAATTAAAATATTTGAAAAGCATTTTCCCATTCCCCTTCCTCCAAGTCATTAATAAAAATGTCGAAGGACTGTGCCCTAAGGCCTCACACTCTATACTTCCCTTTAGGTTCATGAGGAACAAGTGATGGACCCTTTTTGAGTACAATAGGCCAGCCAGCTGTGGGTCTACCTAATACAGGTACCATCCAGTCCATACTTAACTAGCTTGCTAATCAGGATATCACGGTGTATCTTGCTAAATGCTTTGACTGAGTCAGGATAAGTTAATGCATACCATGTCCACAGCATTTCTGAGATCCATCAAGGAAATAACCCAGGAAAAAAACTGAAATAAGATGAGTCTGGCAGTGCTTATTGTTGACAAATCCATAGTGGCTTCCAGTTACCACTGCTCATTTGGAGCTTTAGCCTTCCTGACAGCATTTCTGTGGCTACAGACTAAGTGCTTGTACACTTTCTTAATGACCTGTCCCTCCTTCTACTTCTTCTGTGTGTCCTTTTTGATGTTTGGACTATGCAATTTGTGCACCACATTCATTTCATCTAATTTCCCCTCTCAGTGGGAATGTGTCTGGTCGAGCCTTTGGTATCTCCATTTTCAAGAAGTTACATTCTCCTTGAGCTCATCTTCCTGTTAGGTTTTCCTACTAGGGAGATCTTGTTTATCATTGCTCTGAGTTTATTAAAATCCATTTTCCTAAAGTCCAAGGTACACTTTTTACTATACTCAGCTTTTGCTTTCTTTAAAATCAAGAACTCAGGCATTGTATTGTCACTTCTCC